TTGTGCACTGGGCCCCTAGTATGTAAATAAATACTTCATGTCTGAGCCATACGTGTTGGATTAGAAATGTCAATTAGGAGTTGAGCATTTGGATCATCTATAATAATGAAAGTGTCAAATGCTAATTAGACCAGACGTCCTTCTGACGACCTACCGGACGAAGCCAGAGCTGTGAGGGAAGCCCGGGTCCTGGGTGCCTGCCGGCGGCCGGAGGGAAGCCCGGTGCCGGCAACCGGGGAAAGTAAGGCCTGCTCTTGCATGAATTTCGTGCATCAGGTCTCTAGTTTTTAATAAATACTCTTCAGAGCCTGCATTTTGAGAACCAACTCTCAGGGACTCAAAGAAATGCAAGGAAGGGCGGATTGACTTTAGCGCTCACACTGAGTCACTGGAGGCAGAGAGAAGTAAAAGAGCAGAGGACGTGGTCTCTGGACGCCAACCAAAGGTTGCTCTTTCCATCTGGGCCAGCTGTGGTGGCGGAGAGAAAGGTTACTGAATTTGGGTCAGAAAACCCCAGCTTGAGACCAAATCAGGTTTAGGTACTTTCTATAGCTGTGGCCTCGCAGAAGCAACTTAATCTCTATGTACCTCAGCTTCCTCATCTACAAATGGAAATGGTCCTCTTTCTTAGGGGTTTGGTAAGGTTAAGTGAATTAAGGTATTTTAAAAAGTGTTTCCAAAATTTGTAAACAAAAAACAATTGTATCAAGTTTGAAATTATATCAAAGTAAAGCGTTACCAAACAACAATAATAGCAAAAACACCCAGGAAAGAAAGGGTAGAAACCTAGGCAGATCTGGGGTTCTTTTGTTTGTTTTTCTTTAAATCTATTTTTTGCCGATACCGGTTTGGCTCAGTGGATAGAGCGTCGGCCTGCGGACTGAAAGGTCCCAGGTTCGATTCCGGTCAAGGGCATGTACCTTGGTTGTGGGCACATCCCCAGTAGGGAGTGTGCAGGAGGCAGCTGATCGATGTTTCTCTCTCATCGATGTTTCTAACTCTCTATCTCTCTCCCTTCCTCTCTGTAAAAAATCAATAAAATATATTTAAAAAAAAATAAAAATAAAAATAAAAATAAATCTATTTTTATTGATTTCAGAGAGGAAGGGAGAGGGAGAGAGATAGAAACATCAATGATGAGAGAGAATCATTGATTGGCTGCTTCCTGCACACCCCACACTGGGGACCGAGCCCGAAACCCGGGCATGTGCCCTGACCAGGAATCGAACTGTGACCTCTTGGTTTTGATGCTCAACCACTGAGCTCTGCTGACCGGGCCTCAGCTTGCTATTTTCTTAGCTAACACTCAAAATTCTACAGAGCAAACACCTATTTCCCCCAAATTGTAGGTAAAGTAGGATGAAAGAGAAGAAAGAATACAGTACCTATCCTTAGGGTTATCGTGTTAACTCCATTTCTAGAATGCCATCTGACCACGTGGTCGGTGTTCTTTTTTTACATGTGGGCAATGCCTGTGGGGAGAACCTGTGAGCCCAGCCAGGTCTTGCTGGGGGAGGTAAGAGGCTGGCCAGCGCCGGGGGCAAACGGACCTTTCATGTGGTTCTACAGCTCACAGTGTACAAGGTGCCACTACAGTGCAGTTCCCACAGGTGAACCCGCAGTGGCGGCTTCGTCACACCCTTCAGGGAAAGTGATGTATCCATGGTGTGTTTCGGGCAGGTTCTGCCGCTCCTGTATTGCCACCAGTCTGAAGAGCAGCAAGTGGACCTGCCCTTACTGCCGGGCGTACCTTCCTTCCGAAGGAGTCCCAGCCACGGATGTGACCAGAAGGATGAAATCAGAGTTCCAGAACTGCGCCGAGTGCGGCACCCTGGTGAGTGGCCCTGTGCTCACCGGCTTGCGGGGCTGAGAAAAGTGGTACACGGCTCCTCGGTTCACCTGTGCCCTTTGACCTCCCCCTACCCCGACTTCCTCACGTTGATTGTCTCAGCCTTTCTCCAGTTTCATAGGTGTAAGCGGCAAGAAAATAGTCACCGGATGCCTACCATCGCCTCGTTTTCCACACAAACGCTTTCATTGGCTGCCTCCATCTCTTCTCTTCCCCTGACTCCCGTGACCCCCTGGGATGTGGCCTCCATTCCTGCTCCTCTAGTGCAGGCACCAACGAGAGCTTTGTTAGCAAATCCAGTGGCACACTTGCACCCACGCCCTTGACTTGGCAGTGTTTCTCTCTCTCTCCATCACTTCCTCCTGTTGCAGTTTTCATTCTTTGATACTAGCGAGCATGGTTAGATCATGTGAGGGCTTGGGGCCATGCAAAAGATTCTATCTAGATTCTAGATTGTATCTCAAATGCAATAGTGACGCATAGAAGAAGGGTAAGCCTTTGATCGGGGTTACACTTGGGGATATTACTCCAGCGTGTGCGTGGATGGTGGCTTGCAGGGGGCAGAGGAAGGACTGGTGAAGCCGATTGGATCAGGTAAGGAAGCTGGGCTGGGGAGATAGTGTTAGGTATGAAATAAGACGTTTTTTCAAGGTGTATTTAGGAGGGAGAAGCAAAGGAAATTGGTGATTGACTGCATGTGGGGGTGAGGGAGCGCAAAGTGTCAGAGTGCCTGCAAGGTTTCTGAGATGAGTAGCGAAGGTGTTAAAATGGGGATCGGGTTTGGAGCAGAATCCACGGAGTTGAATTTGAGATGTGTTAAAATTTGAACTAAGGAGATACTTGGCTATACCAGTCTAAAGTTCAAAAGAGAGATTATGTACTGAAGGTCTAAATTCCTTTAGAGAATCTTTCTTGATTGTTAACCTAAATTATAGCCTGTTATACTTTCTCTTAGCACTCTGTGTCCCCTTTATAACAATTTTCACCCCTTACTATTATGCTTTTATGATTTTTTAATTGAATATCAGTTATTCCCACCAGATTTAAGTTCCAAGAAGGTAAGGACTGTGTCTGTTTTATTGGCAACTGTGTACCCAGCACTTTGAAAAGTGGCTGGCACATAGTAAGTGCTTAATGCAGTTTTGTTTTTAATAAGTACTGGTATTTATGTAAGACTCAGTAATCTCTTCATGGCTGCCTGGCTACAGAATGCATGCATGGTCTCTGAGGTCAAACATCCTAGCATCAAACACTAATTCTCTCACTTACTCTTTGTGATTTGGGACAAGTTATTAATCTGAGTTTTTGTTTATCTCTGGAAAATAAGGAAAAAGGTAATGTTTGTGTCACAGGATGGTTTTAAAGGTAAATGAGTAAACACATGGTTTCAAACATGAGAAATACTCAAAATCAAAAGATTTCACCTCATCATAATAGACTGGTGCTTATTTTTACTTGGACATTTTTTTCATCGTATAAATTGTAACACGTCCCAAGTCAAACTCAGGGTATTATTTCATCATCCTGTTCTTTATCCCACCTTTGGTGTCCGTCAGAAACAAGAACATTCAATTATTCTGAGTGGAAATTCCCTTTCTTTTTTACCCCTCTCCCTCCCGCGCCCCCCCCCCCGCCCCCCGCCCATTTCTGCATTTTGCATTTTCTCTTTGGGGTATTTCTTGTATCCATCTCTTCTGTTTTCTGTTTCTCGTCCTGCCAGGAATACTGCCATTCCTTCGATAGCCATCTTAGATGCTACTTACGCTAAAGAATCCAGGCCACAGCTCCACCCCATGACGCCTGGCTTTCGTATGCCAGTGCCCATATCAGCTTCCTCCCTACTTGTCTACGTACATATCTTTCTCCCCCTTCCATTAGATTAGAAGCAGCTTTACAGCAAGCACAGTGGTTTATTTATTTTTTAAATATGTTTTTATTGATTTCAGAGAGGAAGGGAGAGGGAGAGAGATAGAAACATCAATGATGAGAGAGAATCACTGATCAGCTGCCTCCTGCACGCCCCATACTGGGGATCGAGCCCACAACCTGGGCATGTGCCCTGACTGGGAATCGAATCGTGACCCCCTGGTTCATAGGTTGATGCTCAACCACTGAGCCATGCTGGCCGGGCCAACCACAGTGGTTTATGTGTCTTCTGTCATCTCTTACGTTGTCTTACATACTTTTGTCTCTAGAGTGGGCACTGTGTGAACTTGTCAGTTCGTTTGTCAGTGTATATGGTCCCCAGATTGCTAATTTCTGTGAAGAGCCCTTCGCTTTGTTGATGAAGGAACACAAAGAGGAAGAAGGAAACCTTTAACACGAGTAGGGAAGAGTTGAGAGAGCACTGGTGGGCAAAGTTGGGTGTTCAAGACTGCGTAACAGTCTGTGTCCAGGCGGCTACCTACATCAGTCCCGGTTTTTACATCTTTTATTTAGATATTCGTAAGGCGAGGACTTGCTTTTATTTTTGGTCTTTTGTGAAGCAATTATAACTGTTTCAAGTTTGAGGTTTCACTTCGGTCGCGTGGGCAGCGTGAAGCAGGGTGGGTCGGCCACCTTACCACAGCTGTGAGAGCTCCCTTCAGCACAGATCCTATCAGTGTCTGCCGAAGCACTGAGTACAACATGTGTTATTTAGCAACAGATGCCTCATGGTCAGGGCTCTGAATGTATATCTGCAGGAACAAGGGCTCTTTCTTTGGCCTTGATAAAAATGGACGGCAAGAGCTGCCTTTCATGTGTGCTCTTAATGGGGCCATTAAGTGTGGTGTGTATTGTGAATTCATGTCCTACTACTAGATACATGCGAAAACCAGGGTATTCATAGTTTTTCCGGAGGCACAGGGCTTCTTTTTACTTATTATGGATATTCCTAAAATCCATCCATTTATTATGCTTTTCTGTCTTTTTTTTTTTTTTTTTTTACTTTTCCCCCCTTTCTCTCTCTTCCTCTCTTTTTCCTCTCCCTTTTTTCTTTCCCACTTGCTTCTTTTCCATCACCAATTTAGGTAATGGCATTCCCAAAAAGTAAATTTCAGTTCATCTACGTCTTTCCACTTAAAAAATAAATGCTTTCTAGAAGAACCAAATTCAGTAACTCAACATTTGGGTCTTCAAAGTGTTCGAGAAATTGAAAAGTAGTGCTGTTTCTGGATACTGCCCTAGCTTTGTTGTACTGTTTTCATGAATGCATCCTTTTAAAGTCGGCTGACCCCCACTCTGACCTTATTTGAAATAATGAAAGTGGCCATGAAGCCGGGTCACACAGGCTTCACTGAGCTCGCTTTCAGCAGTGAGTTTATTTTGAATTTGCTTTTGTGCAGGTTTGCCTCAGCGAGATGAGGGCACACATAAGAACCTGTCAGAAGTACATAGATAAATATGGACCGCTCCAAGAACTCGGGGAGACAGCAGCAAGGTTTGTTTCCACCGGGTATAGTTTAGCGCTAACTTCGATATGTCTGTAAAGAACGTAATGCTGGGACTAATACAAAGTCATATTGAATGTAAATTGTAATTGGAAAAAATTTTTAATGTTATGTTACAGAAAAGGGAAAAAAAAAAGAATTTAACGGGAAATTTAAAATTTTTATTGTGAAAACATGCATGTAGTTATGGGCAGGCTCTTAACCATAATACCTGTTATTGGCTCTTAACCATAATACCATTTGTTTTTTAATATATTTTTATTGATTTCAAAGAGGAAGGGAGAGGAAGAGAGAGATAGAAACATTAGTGATGAGAGAGAATCACTGATCGGGTGCCTCTTGCACGCCCCACTGGGCGATCGAGCCTGAAACCCAGGCATGTGCCCTGACCGGGAATTGAACCGTGATCTCCTAGTTCAGTGATGGCGAACCTATGACACGCGTCAGAGGTGACACGCGAACTCATTTTTTGTTTGATTTTTCTTTGTTAAATGGCATTTAAATATATAAAATAAATATCAAAAATATATGTCTTTGTTTTACTATGGTTGCAAATATCAAAAAATTTCTTTATGTGACACGGCACCAGAGTTAAGTCAGGTTTTTCAAAATGCTGGCACGCCGAGCTCCAAAGGTTCGCCATCACTGTCCTAGTTCATAGGTTGACGCTCAACCACTGAGCCTTGCTGGCCGGGCGGTGACCAGTTGTTAATAGCAATAATCATGGATTTTGCATGGAGGGAACCAGCCGAGCATTGGAGAGATGAGGGAAACGTCCTCAGCCGGGTTTATATTAAGGAAGATCCACAAACAATTCGGAACTGCTCATTTCTGCGAGGCCCTGCTTTCTGACTAATAGAGCCCTGAAGTAGATCGTGATTAAGAGGTGATTCATCTTAAAAAAAAAAAAAAAAAAGAGGTTATTCATCTTTACTTTTCCACCACCACTGCCCAGTTCCCAGTTCACTCCCTCTCATTTTGCCGGTTTCTCCTTAGAAAGTAGGAAGTCACATCTCCATACATCTCCATATATATTCTAACAAGGAGGTACAGGCCTCCGCAGGCGTCTGTATTCTATACCTTTGGGGGCTGGAAGATGGATGGGGGTTGCTAGTAGGTTTAATGGAAAATATTGATCTCCTTTTTTTTTTCTTTTAAAAAAAAAGAAGAAAAGAAATCTGGGTTATTATTGTCCGGATAGCCAGAATAATTACAAAGTTTGGAGTCTCTCTCTCTCTACTAACGAAATAAAGAAATGGTGACTTTGAAACCATAAAATGTGCTTATAAACTCAGTTACCCAGTAGTGGGATTCAGTAGGGGTGTGATTTCTTTCTCTCTCCTGAAGGAAAATGTTAGTTCTGCTTATTTTAAGAAAACACACTCAAAATGTAGCTTATACTTTTTAACCTGGAAGTCTAAATGATCTTGCCATTCCTTTTGTTTTACTAGACACTGCTTTGCAAACATACTTGCTTTATAGAATTCGTTTTATACCATGACAGTACAAATTTTAAATTTATAAGCAGAGTCCAGATTCTGTTAGATTGACCGCAAGGGCCAATAGGAAAGAAGGATAGCAACTGGTTTGAGAAAGTATGTGTGTATTTGATTGCAAGGTTGATAGGTTTTATAAAAAATTAAAATATCAAAAGCTAATTTAAAGTCAAATTTGTTCTGCTAGTTAGAATTAAATAGTAAAGAATTAAAATGACAGAAAATGAGAAGGGTTTAGATTAATATTTGCATTTAAGATAGAAGTCGTTGCTTTATAGAATAACTTACTCCGTGATTCAAATTTTTAAATTTCTTACGCAGGCAGCTTGTCTAGAATACAAGTCTTAGGAAGTAGGAAGTTATATCTATAATGGAAAGTGAGCAAAAAATTCCAAGTTTCCATATTGTCCCTAAGAATTTAAGGCAGCACTAGCCAATAGAAATAGAATGCAGAACACATAATGTAATTTAAACTTTTCTAGTAGCAAGGAAAATCAATTTTTGACATATTTTACTTAACCCAAATATAACCAAACTATTATTTCAACATGTAATCAATATAAAAGTTATTGAGATATTTTACATTCTTTTTAGATTAAGCCTTTGAAATTCCGTGTGTATTTTATACTTTGGCATATCTCATTTGGACTACCAATATTTCAAGTGCCCAACAGGCACATATGGCTAATGGCTACTGTATTGGGCAGCACAGATATAGGAACAAATACCCCCAAGTGTAAGGGCTTAACAGGGTAGTTGAAGGTCATTTTTCATTCTTCACTTGATACTAATTATGTGAGTTGACACTTGTAGTTACACAGGGAGGGGAAAATAGGTTTACAGTTGTGAGTATGCAACACACAGAGTTTTTTTTGTATTATTACTTATTAACTATTATATTATTTTCCATACGAACAACTGTAAACCTACTTTTGCTCCACTCTCTCTCTATATATATATATGCTAGAAGAGTTGGAGGACAAATAACACCCAAATCAAGATTAGGAAAGGGAGGATGGAAAAGTGACAAAGTAACGCTGGGACAGGTGGGTGGACTTAGTGCTCAGTTGCTCAGTGAGTGGGGCTTCAGGTGGCCTGTAGCTGTTTCTCTCCCCTGCCCCCAGAAGGTCACGCATTTACATCCCTCAGGAGAAAGACTTTAGGCACCAAGACCATTATCAGGATTAGAAAAAAAAATTTTTTTTAATATATTTTATTGATTTTTTTACAGAGAGGAAGGGAGAGAGATAGAGAGTTAGAAACATCGATGAGAGAGAAACATCGATCAGCTGCCTCCTGCACATCTCCCATTGGGGATGTGCCCGCAACCCAGGTACATGCCCTCGACCGGAATCGAACCCGGGACCCTTCAGTCCGCAGGCCGACGCTCTATCCACTGAGCCAAACCGGTTTTGGCAGGATTGGAAAAAATTATACCGATTCAGAAAGAATGAGGACTGGAAACTGGATCTATTGTTTACCTCTGTAGTTAAGTGACTACTCTCATTGCCAATAATTTTAGTGATATTCATATTCTATGCAATTTCCAGGTGTGTGTGTCCATTTTGTCAGAAGGAACTGGATGAAGACAGCTTGCTGGATCATTGTATTAATCATCACAGATCAGAAAGGAGACCGGTGGTAAGGATTTTTTGTCACTATACATTTCTGCAATGTCTAAATTCAATATATATTAGAAAATTTATTTGATAGGCTTCTGTTTACAGATATTTTATATAGGATAATTTGTCAAGGTTATGGTAATTCTATGACATTAACAAAATGTGAAAGTGTTGAATTGAAACTGATAAGAATTACTAATGTGCATTCAATCATTCATTTATGAAATTAGACATTATCTCTTACAGATAATCCTGGGCATAATCAACTAAGAATATCCAAAATGCACAGTTAAGATCTAACTTTAGTATAATAAACATGGTCACATCCTAGGTTAAAAACATTTTTAAATAATGCAAATAGAGTTATGAAAATACACTAGAAATGAAAAGTAGAAAATTATCTGTTTTATAAAAGGCTAATATGCAAAGTGTCCCCTTGGGTGTTCGACTGTGAGACTGGGAGTTCAATTGCTCACTATGATGTGCGCTGACCACCAGAGGGTGGCGCAGAACAAAGGAAGTCCCGGCCGGCAGCCGGAAGGCCCTGATTGGCCCTGATTGCCATCCAGGCCTGAGTACCCTACCCGTGCATGAATTTCATGCACCAGGCCTCTAGTATAAAATAAAAACAAAAAAAGAAAAGCATGAAGTCATTCATCTTTATTAATCAGTCTGTTACTTTATTTCATATATATCCACATGCTTGTGCATTAAATACACATATTGCTCATCATTTCCTACATTCACAGTGAGTGCTGCCTTTTTTTTCTTTTCAACCTGGCATTTCAGTTCTACTTTGTGGTGTGACTTTTTTTTTTTAATTGATTTTTTACAGAGAGGAAGGGAGAGGGATAGAGAGTTAGAAACATCGATGAGAGAGAAACATCGATCAGCTGCCTCCTGCACACCCCCTACTGGGGATGTGCCCGCAACCAAGGTACATGCCCTTGACCGGAATCGAACCTGGGACCTTTCAGTCTGCAGGCCGATGCTCTATCCACTGAGCCAAACCAGTTAGGGCTGTGGTGTGGCTTTTATAATTTTTATTGCTGTATAGTAGTGAGGTAGGCTTTTTGTTTGTTTGTTTTTTACCAAGTTAACTCTAACACTCACCATATGACCACCAATCAAATTTTTGGAAATTTATCCTAGAGAAATAAAAACATCTATGCAACTATCTGCACACAAATGTTCATTACAGTGTTATTTGTACCAGCCCCAAACTGGAAACAACCAATGTCCTTCAGAAAGTAAATGGTTAAACTGTGGTACATCCATATCGCGGTCTACTTACCACCACCAATAAAAAGGAAGGAACTATGGATGCAAGCAACAACTTGGATGAGTCTCAAGGTCATTCTGCTCAGTGTAAAGAGCCAATCTCACAAGATTAAGTGCTGGATAATTGGATTTATTTAACATTCTCAGAATGATGACATTGTAGAGGTGGGGAATAGATCGGGGACACCAGGGTAGGGAGAGAAGGTAGTAGAGGGGTAGCACTAGGAAGTTACTCTGCAGTGACAGGACACTTCTGTATCTGATTTTGTTGATGGGCATATGGATCTATGTGCGTGATAACATTTCATAGAACTACACACACACACACACACACACACACACACACACACACAACTGAATTCATGCAAAAACTGGTGAAACCTAAAGCAGAACTGTAGTCTAGTTAATTGCTAACTTCCTGATTTTGATAATGTGCTATAGTTGTATAAGATATTACCATTTGGGAAAACAAGGTGATGGGAAATGGGACCTTTCTGAATTATTTTTGCAATTTCTTGTGAGTTTATAGATATTTCAAAATGAAAGTTTTTTTTTGAAGAGCTATTCATAGCTATTAAATTAGGAAATACATGTAAATACTAATTACTGATGCTGGTGTGTTATAATCTTTATTGCTGGTGGTAATAAAAATACTTTAGAGCAATAGATATTATGGACCATAAATGTTCATAACCTTTGACTACGAATCTCCATTTCTGGTCATTTATCCTAAGAATATAACCCCCCAAAAGATAAACACTATAGATAATATCATTTGTAATAATAAAATATCTACATACAAAAAACTTATTTCAAGAGGTAGGCAACTAATCAAGTACATTACAGTGCATCTACTAACTGTACAATTATTTAATTAATCAGTTAATAACTATGAAAATAGTAGCTATACAGTAATATGTATACAAGAAATATATACAAGAATAAATGCAATTTTATGTGTTTAATGTTGTTTTAATGTTTATGAAATTTTAAAACATAAAACTGAGGTATGGCCAATAGATTTGTCGAGTTAAATTTCACTTTATTGAGTGGTTATTTATTTTTTTAATTAAAATTTATTGGGATGACATTGATTAATAAGATTATATAGGTTTTAGGTATAGATTTCTACGATACATGATCCTTATTGCATTGTGGGCCCATCACCCAAAGTCAAATCATCTTCTGTCGCCATATATTTGGCTCCCTTTACCCTTTCCTACCCCCCCTTCCCTCTGGTAACCACCATGCTGGTGTCTGTGTCTATGAGTTTCAGTTTTATATCCCACATATGAGTGAAATCATATGGTTCTTAGCTTTATCTGACTGCCTTATTTTGCTTAGCATATTCTCAAGGTCCATCCATGTTGTCACAAATGGCAGTATTTCATTTTTTCTTATGGTTGAGCAGTTGGCTATTTGATGTTTTAATTCTGACATTAGTGATTATTTTAAATTCTTTCTTGAACTCTTGGTCTTGTCTGTTTCCAGTTCTGCCCACTCTGCCGTTTAATACCCACTGAGAACCCAAGCAGCTTCAGTGGCAGTTTAATAAGACATTTGCAAGTCAGTCACACTCAGCTCTATGAGGATTTCTTAGTAAGTATTTGTTTTATTTTTACATTGTCTTCATGTTGTCTGTGTTAAGCTTACTTTTTTAATCCAAGCGAATAAGGAGGAAAAAATGCATATATAACTAAAGTGTTAAGTATAAAGTAAGAAGTCATAAAAATAGAGTGTTTTGTAAATTTGGCTATTAATATTAAAGCAGTTATCTGCCTTACACAAAACTATTTTTTGTGTGATCCATATAATTATCCATTGTATAAGGAGCCAGATTTCACCTTCAAATTACTTTAGTTTCTACTTTACTCCCTCCCTATGTATGGTTATAGTTTTTGTGAACCTGAGAACTTCTACATGATGAAATGAAATCACACCAATAACGAAATGACTCAGAGAGTTTGTTCTGCATCCAGTTGCTTTTATTTATTTTACTTTTAAAAATAAGTTTTTATTGATTTCAGAGAGGAAGGGAGAGTGAGAGAAACATCAATTGATGAGAGAGAATCATTGATCAGCTGCCTCCTGCACAACCCCCACTGGGGATTGAGCTTGCAACCCAGGCATGTGCTCTGACTGGAATCGAACCATGACCCACTGGTTCATAGGTCAATGCTCAACCACTGAGCTACACCAGCTGGGCCAGTTGCTTTTATAGTACATTGAATGGCTGTTCACAGATATGAAATTATCTGTGTAGTAAGGCAGATAGCCATTATTTTTAATTTAAATTTTATAAAATACAGTATTTATTGAACTTTTTTAAACATGAATTTATTATGAAAAATATTAAACGTACACAAAGTAGACAGAATAGTATAATGAACCTCCCATAGAACCATCACCTACGCATCAATAACTACCAACACATGGCCAATCTCGTTATGTTGGCTTTTTTTTAAAATGCAAGAAAAGTTAGGTATTGCGTGAGTAGTCCTAATGCTTACGACTGTATTTCCCATGATCAGAAATTAGAATAACAAGCAAAAAGTTAATGTAGCCTTTGTTGTGCTTTGGTCCATGTGTTGTCATGGGAGGGTTATATGTTATCCTGAGTCCCTTTCAGCCTGTAAGGGGGGGAATCACTCAGAACCATGTTCTGAAACATAATATTTTATTGTTAACTTTCATCTAAATACAGGAATGTTAACGGCTAAATTTGAATTCGCAGATAATTTGACATTGTTTTTTATGCTATTTTAAGATAGAATTTAGTAACTGTTAAAGATTTGTTAAAAATGGTTAATTTGAAAATTCTCCCCTTGTTTTCTGATCTGCGCACTGTGATTATCCAGGTTCAACACAAGGAATTTAGGTTCTGGCCTGGATTTAAGTAACAGCTCTGTCACAACAGTGTGACCTTGGGCAGACCACTGACCTTTGAGCCGCTGTTGATTTGCTAAGTGAAGGGAGTAAAAAGCAACTACTCCCCAAAGAGGAGTAAGTGAGGGAATGCAGGGGAAGTGCTTTGCACAGTGTGGGCAGGGATCTCAGGCAAGTTGGAGGAGGGGAGAGAATAGGTGGGAATAGGAGGACCACTTGAAGGACTGCATGGGCTACACCAGAGCTTTGTGGGCTCTGCTCCGCCTCCCAAATAGCGTCTTTGGCCCCCAAGGACACAAGGCCTCACCGAGCCTGGCTCTGGTCTATGTGTTCTCATTTTTCACCGCACGTAGGGAGGGCTTCCTCTTTAGTTTAGCTCCATCAGATGTTCCAAAAGCCATCACCTGTTCTAGCTGTTCACATTCAGTCCGTTCTTCTCAAGATCTTTCAAAGTATGAATCCAGGGCTGGTCGGGAGGAAGCCACTTTGATGAGAATACTTTCCACCCACTTGGATATGGAAATGAGGCTAAAACAGTGTTTTTTGGTTTGTTTGTTTCCTCAGCTACCAAGTACTATGGGAGGCACTTCATGCATATTATCTCATTTTATTCCTTGTAACAACTGTCAAGGGAGTACTCTATTATCCTCACTTAGGTATGAAATATCTGAAGCTCAAAGGTTAATACATTGCCTAAGAAACAACCAGTATCGAGTCCCAGATCTTATGTTCTTCTACTCTTTTTTTTTTTTTAATATATTTTATTGATTTTTTACGGAGAGAAAGGGAGAGAGATAGTTAGAAACATCGATCAGCTGCCTCCTGCACATCTCCCACTGGGGATGTGCCTGCAACCCAGGTACATGCCCTTAACCGGAATCAAACCTGGGACCTTTCAGTCCGCAGGCCTACGCTCTATCCACTGAGCCAAACCGGTTTTGGCTGTTCTTCTACTCTTTATGGTTTTCCTTTGGATTTTATTTATTTGACTTTATGGTTTTACTAGAGGCCCAGTGCATGGATTCATGCACTCGTGGGGTCCCTTGGCCTGGCCTGTGCCCTCTCACAATCTGGGACCCCTCGGGGGATGTCGGAGGCCCAGTGCATGGATTCAGCCTGATCTCCACAGGCCAGGCCAAGGGACCCCACCAGTGCATGAATCCGTGCACCGGGCCTCTAGTATGCATATAAGATCTTTGGTTAATCTCTTCCCGCCCTCCCCCCTGCCCCCTTCCCTCTGAGATTCATCATTCTGTTCCATGTTTTCATGCCTGTGCGTTGAGCATCTGCCCCCTGGTGGTCAGTGTGCATCATAGCTACCAGTCGAACGGTCGCTTAGGCTTTTATATATAGAGATGTTTCAGAATGGACTTTCAACACAGATTTACAAGGTTTGTTTTTTGTGTTTTGTTTTTGAAGGAAGAGGAGATGAGTTGCAAAGACAGGGCTCTTGATAGTTTTTGTCTTGTTTACAGAATGTGCTGACTTGAAGTTTTGAATGCCATTTTGACCACAGGAAGGCAAAGAGAAAGAGAGTTTTGCTTTCAGCAGTTTTCAGATAGATATTCAGTAGTTGTGCTGAGATTGCTGAGTCCTATGGAAATGTCTTAACTTTATATGACCTGTTATGTGGAACCTAGCTCTCTGACCAGTATTTGTAGCGTTGACTAAAAACTACTCATTAGATCAGATTCAAAACTTTAAATTCCAAATCAGGACTATTTTACTATGACAATACCTGGTTTCTTTGTAGGCAGGCAAATGAAACAGAAAATGCACTGGCCCCAAACAAAAATGCTAGGTTCCCTGACGGGTTTTTTTATGGAAGATTGGACAGGTCACTGAACTCAGGGCTCCCTCAGTTTGTGAAAACTGTCTCTGATTGTATGTTTCTAATTATTTTTCTTAATTCTAGGATTTTAATATAATTGAGGAAGCTCTTATCCGAAGGGTATTAGACCGGTCACTTCTGGAATATGTGAGTCACTCAAACACCACATAATGTCGTGAAAAGGAGAAGGAAGGAGACCATACAGTTGCACCATTTGTTAAGATGCTGCTTGAACAGTTGGAGGGGAATTGTCGCTGTCTGATGGGCAGGAATGTACAACACAGTTCTCTCGCATTTTAAAACTGCTTTTATCTTGATGGTTTAAATCTGTTTTACATCCGTGAGCCTTTTAGATGCTCAGTAAACAAAGAGTCTCCATTAGCCATTAATATACTATGAAAGAGAACCTAAGGCTGGGATTGGTGGGTGAAGGATCTTTATTTGCAAACTGGATGACAGTATGTGTAACGCTACTTATTAATAAACAGCATCATGGTAGGGCAAGATAACTAATCCTTGTTCTATGTAAAAAGATGGAACGTGAAACCAATTGTGGACATGCAAGTGCTCATGTTCTAATCACTAATAGAATAACATGAATAACTTTGTATGGTAGGGAAGGAAAATTTTGGAAGTCGATGAAGTCCATTTAACCAAATTGTATAACATGATGTAACAAAATTAATTTCATGTTAGGAATGTATGCCTAATTCTTTTACTTTTTATAACTGCATACCTAAGAATTTAATATCCTATTTTTCAAATGTTTGTAGCTTATTTAGGAATATTTCTGTAATGTAGGCAAGTTCTTAAGAACCGTCAGCTGTTATTGATAGTAGAGGTATTCACATCCATAATTCTTAGTGGAAAATCCAAAGGGCTTTGATGTTATTTTTATTTCCGCCGTTAGAAAAATTATAAAAAAATACTGAAAACCCAACAAAATTATAGCTCATCACGTTATGATAGGCAAGCACTCTTGTCAGCCACCCTGGATGTCCTCTGCGTGTCCTGTCACCGTTCACAATGCTCGTCCCCCACCCCACAAAAGTAACCATTACATTGATTCCAGTAGTAATCACTTCCTTGTGCTTCTTTAGTGTTTGTGTATCTCTACACACTGTTTTTTATCTTCTTCATTTAAAATTGTTATGAGATGTATCGTTTACATCCCTTTTTTACACGTTTCCCCGTTCTTTCTTTTTCTTAAAATTTACCAATTGGAGAACCTGGTCTTATGATTCACAGTTTCCCACAGTCTGTATTGTATTGATTGCAGGCTCATGGCACAATTCAGCATGTTCCTCTGTCCTCTGGACATTGACACATGGGTCCAGAGGTTTGAGCAGACTTTTGGCAAGACTGTCCAGTTCAGTCTTTTTTTGTGACATCGGCTAAACTTGACACTCGGTGCCTAGATCCAGTGATTTATTGTGGGTTGGAGAGTATCCTAATGCTATCATTTCTTTTTTGTGTGTTACTTGGAACATTTTTTGTAAAAGAGATGTTTCCCCACATCTGTGATTTGGTTAACCAGTGGTAATGTTCATGCAGGAAAAGAAAAATAACTACTTGAATTTTTCCCTTTATTTACCAATTTTTAAGATAAACTTTTCCCTATCCTCTTCCAGTGATCACTCTTTTTAACAGCATTGTGAACTAACTTATGAATTCACACATATTGCATAGACTTCAATCCACTTTAAATATTCCCTTACTGAAGCTCAGATAGCCCTGTCTTTGGCCATTGGGTGTCTCACCACGTTGCCTCTGAATCCTTTTGAACCTACTCTCGAAATCTTTGGTGGCTTCCTTGCCGTCTCACAATATTCCAGGCCCAGCTTGTATGTTTCCTGCCCCAGACCTGGAATCGGCCATTTGCCAAGGAGCCTGGTCATTTTCAGTGAGAAATGGCATTTCCACGCTCTGCTCGGGACGGTTATGCTCATTGCAACCAGACTTCCCATTGTTTCTGGAAGGGAGCTAAGAAATAGCTTTGTCTTTTAAAGATAAAACACTTCATGAGTTTATTTTTAAAAATATATATTTTTATTGATTTCAGAGAGAAGGGAGAGGGAGAGAGAGAGAAACATCAGTGATGAGAGAGAATGATTGATAGGCTGCCTCCTGCACACCCACACTGGGGATCGAGCCCCCAACCCGGGCCTGTGCCCTGATGGGGAATTGAACCATGACCTCCTGGTTCATAGGTGGACGCTCAGCCACTGGGCCACACTGGCCGGGCCATGAGTTTATTTTGATACTTTCAAATCAAATGGAGTACTACAACCTAATCCTTTTTTTTTTAAACCATATTTCCATTTTTTCTATACTGAGAATTCTGGTTTTCCAAGACGGGCCACGATAAAATTAGAATATCACACAGATATTCATTTCTTTTATTACCTTACACATGCAACAGTTTCAGAGTAACAATACTAATACAACTACCACCAATATTTAATGAAGACAATTAAACATTTTTTATTTGCGCTCCCTATCCTCCCCCTACTTTTTAAAGCTGTACTCTATCAACATTTTCGGAACATTTTGGCATGGCATCACATACTGTCCTCCCTCCCTCCTCCCCCATTTAGTCTTAGATCTTCAAGTAACTGTGTTCAGTGCTTGCCTAATTTTATAGTTTGACTGTTTTTCATATCTGACTTTTTAACGACGCATCCAAACTTTTGTTTCTTACACATAAATGTACTCGTAATCATGGTGTCCCAAATATCTATAGTAAACTATCCATTCCTCTTTAAAGTCTTGCTTATGGCCCTGTCCCCCACTACAAGGGAATTCGAACGACCTAAAGCCGGTGAAGTTGAGGGCTTTCCCTCCCCCTTGTAGATGTTGACTTCACAGCTGTGAGCAAGTAACAGATGTTTAGTTTCACAACCTCTTCCTCCACTTTGGATGAGTCATCCAATAAAGCACAAAAGGAGGGAGGTAATCATCAGACTGAAAGTCTATTTTTAGTCCCTAAAAAATAATTTCTGAGCATCAGTACTGTCCAGGAAATAAATCTTTGTTCATTTAGAGCCATCCAAAAGGCATCTTTAAATCTTTAAAACTTGAAAAAAATGTCAAAACTTTAAATCCCGTATTTTGCATAAAGCTTTAAGTCACCCGTGGGGCTCGGTGCAGCAATTCTGCACCCTGTTCCTGGATTCCTCCGAGAAGTTTGCCACCTCCAGGACGCATCAGGTGCTGGCCGCCTGCATGATTTTGCCTTCTGCATTGTTTTGAGTTCTAAAATGGTCAAGTGCAAATATTCATTCTTTCACGGTGCCTTTAACCTTTTATATTAAAAAAAAATCTTCTAATTCATTGTTTTAAAAAATGAAAACCAATATTTGAAGCTGTTGACTACTAACAAGTTTCACGCTGTTCCTAGCGCCTGAGATGCAACTTTTCCAGGGGCTTCTAAGGGAAATCTGAGTCACGTTTCTCTTCAAGGCTAAACTCTTCCAACCCTGCGAAGCCTGTGGAGCTGTTCCTTTCATGTACCTTCCCCCGGGCTTTGAACGTAGGCTGAAAGTGGGGTTCCGAGTCTGTGGCCCTATGTTAAGACCCCGGTCACAGATCCAGCTCCAACGATGGCGCTTCACTGCGTTCATGGGGTGCTCAGTCTTTCATGTGGAAGTGAGCTTACTCCAGTGACTGAATGCTGAGTGTGTAATTTGTACCTTTAGGCATTGAAGTTTTTTAAAAAGTCATTAAGAGATTCATTCTTTCCTTATGCAACTGCAAAAAAACAACTGTATGATCAGAATTTAAAATGTGCAGGTGTTTTTTTTTTCTTTCTTCTGTAAAAATGTATTGTGAGAAATAAAGAATGGCAGGACCATTGCTTTCATTAAAATATCTATTGTGTCTTCTTTTTCTTTAACACATTTATTTTGATTTTTTGAATTTAAAAATATTTTTCTCATTTATTTATTTTTAAATTTCTTTATTAAGGTATTACATATGTGTCCTTATCCCCCCATGGCCCCCCCACCCTATTGTGTCTATTCTTAAATATTGATCCTGATAATTTTTTTACACAAACCAATAAACTTTTAAAATTGTCATTCAGCAGTATCTATCACAAAAATACACCTTCACGTAGGCCTCTCGGGGAATGTTTGGTAATATCTAGAGACATTATTTGTCATAACTGGGGTTTCTAGTGGCCAGGGACATATAGGTAGAGGCCAAGGATGCTGCTTACTATTCTACAATGCCCAGCACAGCCCCCTCACAACAAAGAATTACCATGCCCCAAATGTCAACAGTGTCGAGGTTTAGGAACCCTGATTTAGGCCAAAGAAATGCTGGTCACCATGGAGTTACTGGTTCTGCTTCCAAGGAGCTTCACTGAAATGTAAAAGGTTAAATGTAGATGAATTCTATGTCTTACTCTCTGCTAAATATGTACTAAGTTCTAGGTGGCCGAACCTGTCGTGTGTACCCCAGTTCAGGATACGCTCAAACATAGGAGAGCTTTTTAGATTTTTTCACAAGAGGTACAGGCTAGAACACGGTGTTATTGACGTGACCTATGATGAGTGACATCCTTCAAGGTAGAGGGAACCCAGGAGGAGTTGGGAAGACTTAGCATTGTCACCTAGGCTACTTTCATGGCAGTAAATAAGACAAAATATTACAGAGGGACACCTGTATCTGAGATCCTTGAGGCTAAGAAATACTTACGTTTTTATCTTATTACTGGACAATCCTCTGGTATTTTAATCCTGCAGGTTTCAGAAAGCCACACACATGGGTCTTGATTAAGGCTAATCATTGCCCCCAAAGTAGCCAGGTAAGAGGCTCAGCGAAGGTGAACCATGGGAAGAGATTGGTCAAGGTCGTGCTGCGGTTATAAACCCCCAGATCCCGGCATTCAACTTAAGGTATAGTACTGTGGGCCCTGGCTATTCTCCAGGCAGCTGCTCTCTAACCGCAGAGTTACAGGCCACTTTGATCTCATGGCATTTCTATGTCACCGTGTGCTTCTGACACCCCTCATCACAACAGACTGGAAAAATGGCTGATTACACAGGTAGCACCGGCCCTATCTCCAAATACCATTGGGGATGAGGGTTTCCACATAGGACCTTTGGAGGAACACATTCAGCCCATACATGCTTGTTGAACAGAAAAATGAATGTCTGACACATGGATGGATCCGATGGCTCCTGTTAGCGTCTCTGCATATTCTTTTCTCACTGGGAAGGTCTACACGGGGAGCAAATTTACTCAGCTCTAAATTTACTCCTTTTTTACCTGCTGTGTGAAAATGCATCTGGGCCCTTCACATACTTTTTCTTTCCCGGCTGGCACAATAGTAAGACTTTCCAATAGAGGGCACTAGAGAGACACTGCAGGAGGAAAAGGGCTGCAGTGTCTCTCTAGTGCCCTCTATTGGCCATTTTCTGCAGTGCCCTGTGGCGAGCAGCACCCAGCATCCCTCTGGATGGTATCTTGCAGAATACCTGAGATACTTCTTTGCGAACAGGTAGTTTTCCACGGGACCCTGGAGGACTGGTTTCCAGCAAGTTCTGACCGCGTAGCACCACAGTGACTTCTCTACCATCCAGTGAGACACAGGATCTAGGCCAGTGATGGCAAACCTTTTGAGCTCGGTGTGTTAGCATTTTGAAAAACCCTAACTTAACTCTGGTGCCGTGTCACATATAGAAATTTTTTGATATTTGCAACCATAGGAAAACAAAGACTTATATTTTTGATATTTATTTTATATATTTAAATGCCATTTAACAAAGAAAAATCAACCCAAAAAATGAGTTCGCGTGTCATAGGTTCGCCATCACTGATCTAGGCCCTAGTGGTGGTGGGAGTAGAGCCTTTCTTTGGGTACCCTATTTCAACCCTATATTCCTTTTATTAACAACGTAATAGGGGACACTTCACAAATTTAGGTGTCATCCTTGCATAGGGGCCATACTAATCTTTATATTGTTCCAATACCACGTGCAGGCGATTGAAACTTCGTGGCCCATGCGCAGAAGTCGGTATTTTGTGGAAGAGCCACACTCAAGGGGCCAAAGAGCCGCGTGTGGCTCGCGAGCCACAGTTTGTCGACCACTGACCTAGACTGATCAATCAGGTTATGTTGATTTTTCCCGAGTACCCTCAAGAAATTTGCATGCTCCCATCAGATTTTGCCGGCTGTGGATAGAGAAAGAAGAGTTGGGAATTGAGAATGCTGAGATCCAAATCAAGTAAGTAATCGTTTGCTGGACTGAGGTGCCGATGTCTCGTTCTCTGATTCACTTCCCTTTGGGTGTAAAATTGAAATGCTGACAGAAAACGGAGATCCCGGCCACTGGAACGGGAAGAAATTAATGGAGGATTTGGACTCCTGACTCCCCGAGCCACCCCGCATGCTGCTCCCTTCCTGGCAACCAGGATGACACTGCCTTTGCAATATAGACTGAACTGGAACTCAGTTTGGGGGTGGGTGGACGTTTTAGAAGACAGAGAAGAAGAGCTCTCTGCCAGTCCAGCCAACTTTCTTCATCTTCTCCTGAGACGAAGTTTGTCAGGGTAAACTGGGTATATGTTGCCCCAGAGTTACTGCTGACAAACAGAACATCTATAGGTGTAGCCCCATTCTCGGCGTTTCAACTTAACAGCCCTACAGACATAACCAAGTCTTTGGTGTTTACTTTTTGGGAGTTCTCCTAAAATGAGACTGATAGACAGGTAACTATTAGGATTGTAGGCCCAGTAAAAACCCAACTTGTATTAATAGGACTGTGATCTATTATAATCCATGGGCAGAATGTCCTAATTCCTTAGAAAGCCTCAGGTCATTTTTGCATCTCAACACTTTCAACAAAAAGTGAGTTGCAAATGAATTATGCCACTCCTCTCTCCCCAAACAGGGTCAGCTGCTCTAATGTTCTTTTAGGTCAGCGGTTCTCAACCTGTGGGTCCAGACCCCTTTGGCGGTTGAACGACCCTTTCACAGGGGTCGCCTAAGACCATCCTGCGTATCAGATATTTACATGACGATTCATAACAGTAGCAACATTACAGTTATGAAGTAGCAACGAAAATAATTTTATGGTTGGGTCACAACATGAGGAACTGTATTTAAAGGGCCAGAAGGCTGAGAACCACTGTTTTAGGTATTCCTTTGACAATAGCAACGTTCCCAGCAGGCAACATCAGAGAGCCAGAGTGGTTAACAGTATAATTTTCACCGCTACCAAGTCAACTAAATGATGCCCATGAGACTCTGCTTTGCTTCATTCACTCTGTCCAGCAACAGATGGTACATATCCTATGGTTCCTCCTTTCTCCAGGTTCTAAATGCAAGTTTTCATTGTACTGTAGTTGTATTTGCTCTGCATTGTGGTACATAGAAATGGTTGATAGGAATCACCTTTATGATTTAGTCTAAAGCTGTAGGATTATGAGATTGTGGACGAAAGGGGCCACATGCTGACCTGACAAGCTCAGGGGAGGCCTGCGTGGTGGTCTTGCAAACTCAGAGACCTAAAGTCACCACAAAGGATGGTCTGAAATTAAACTTTAACTAAAGCAGTTATGGTGGGCAGTTACGTCCTAGGCCAGTTTCTTCACTGACAAGCTCAACCTTTACCTTAACTGAGCCTATCTGTCTTTTTGCATCTATGATAACATAGCCTTGAAATGTCTGGGTAACTTGTAACTTCCTTTTTTCTGGAGCCCCTGGGGCACAACCAAATGTGCTGGATGCCAGGACAGATACCACAAATTCTTTCATTATCATGTTAATTGATCCTGCACCCACCTAAGTATGTGTCCATCATTTCACTTTTTATTCAATCCCAGGGGTTCCCCCTGCTTTGCTTTATCCCTCCTCCTTAATCTATCGCCGATGAATTTCATGTAACCCACCTACGTCCCTCCTTTGATTGCAATGTATAAATACAAATGTAACCCTGCCATTCTCTGGAGCATTATCTCAATTCATTGAGGTTCTGCTTCCCGGCATATGTCGACAGTTTGGCTCAAATAAACTCACAAAAATTCTTTACAGGTTTCAATGGTTTTTATGTTAACAAGATGTTAAAGATTAGCGTGGCTCCGTGGTTGAGCGTCAACCTATGAACCAGGAGGTCACGGTTCGATTCCCGATTGGGGCACAGGCCCAGGTTGCGGCTCGATCCTCAGTGTGGGGCCTGCAGGCAGCCAGCTGATCAATGATTCTCTCTCATCATTGATGTTTCTATCTCTCTCTCCCTCTCCCTTTCGCTCTGAAGTCAATAAAAAAATATCTTTAAGGAAAAGATTAAGATTCAATTAAAGGTAAAAGTAAGAGGCATTGGATTGGAAACATGGCAGCCTCATGGCGCTGCCGGAGAGGCAAGCTGGAAGGGAGTTAGGTGGCCTCCTTGGGGAAGCAGTGAACGCGCAGGTATTGAGAGAGGAATGGCGGGGATAGCAGAACTCTAGGCACAGGAAGAAGGCTGCATCTATGCTGCAGGGTTCTCTTTCCCCCAAAATTAGGCTTTGTTTGCTTTTTAAAACTGGTGTCAGGCTTTCGCCTCCACTCTTATACTGGAACTAATCTTGTTATAGTTGCCGTTATCCTGGCTATGTGCCCAGGTTAGAACAATGACCAGAGGATGCCAGTAAATGTGTAAAGTAATGGGGGGAGGGGGGCGGGGGAAGGAAAAAAATAACAAAGGGAAGAAGAGAGAAGGATGGAGAAAGAGAGGGGAGGGTCAGGGGCAAGGGATTTTTTTTATCTTCAGCTCGATTCCACAGGAGATAATAGGGGCCGAAGGGCTGCTAATAGGATTACAAATGACAGCTCTGCGATGGTACATAAAAACACAGCGGACGTAAAATTAAATGTCAATAGCATGAAAATGCATATGCATAATGACATTTATGAAGGTGTTGAAATTTAACTGTCCCAAACCGGGGTAGACTAGAAAAGGGTAAATTTACTTTCTATACATAATCTCACTTTTAAGTGTCCATTTGTGCCAGTTTGCAGAGTTGTGCAGAGGATGTAAACTTACAATGGAAAGCAACTCCGTTCCTTCTCTTCTGGAGGAAGAGACACTTTTGCAGTGTTTCTCCTTTGCCTTCCCCTCTCCTGAAGAGTTGATTTAGTTAGGAAAATGGGTCAGGAGCCCGGCTCGTGTGGCTCAATGGTTGAATGTTGACCCATGAACCAAGAGTTAGATTTGAGGTCAGGGCACCAGCCCTGGGATTTGGGCTTGATCTCCAGTAGGGGGCGTGCAGGAGGCAGCTGATCAATGATTCTCATCATTGATGTTTCTCTCTCCCTTACTCTCTCTGAAATCAATAAAAGGATATTTTTTTAAAGTAGAATTCTCAATCAGTAGTGCAAAAGAGGACGTTTACTATGACAGATTACAAAGATGTTGGAACTGCTGAAAGACCAAGTGTGACCGTGAGGCAATCACAGAAGCCACCGAGAAAGGGCAGGGACTGCCCAGGAGGGGCTGGGGCCACTGCGGGGAGGGCAGGCTGTCTCCCAGAAGCTGAAACCATGAAAGAAAAGAAGCCACTGCCAGCAGCAGAGAGAGGGGGTAACATTCTGTCTCCCAATTCCATTGTGTGGTGAAGAGGTGCATCCCACACCCCAAGCAAGTCTTGGATACCAGCTGGGTGTCCTCCAATTCCATGCAATCCTCACACTATCCCCCAAAAGAGTGTCAGGTCCCACAGATGTAGGGGTCAGTCTTACAAGACTGCCCCCATCCCCACCCCTTCAGATGCCAACTCCAACTGGAAGTCCAGGTTGTCACCTGTGCTGCTGACGGACTATAGTCAGAGGTTCCCCTTGTCCGCTCCTTGGGTTCAATTTATTTGTTAGGGCAGCTTACAAAACTCAGGAAACCAGTTTACTCACTAGATTACAGTTTCCTACAAAAGGGATTACTCAGGAACTGTAGGGAGCGGCTATGGGGTCAAGCCTCAGACTGACCTGTGGCAGAGCCACATACAATTAAGCTTGACCTTATAGTCCTCCCTTGTTCCTAGGTAGCTAATGGGCTGTGGAGGTGCAGCAAGTGCTGCCAAAACAAGGCTTGAGTAACGAAATAGATTTGAAACTCGCAAGAACATTGTAAACATGTTGACCACACCCCTTGTTTTGCTCTGTGTGCTCTGACTATAAAAAAAGCTTCGGCTTACAGGCTGGGTCACTGTTTTCTCATCCAGGCACAGTGATCCTACCTAGCCCCAGCTGTATTCTCTTGTCTGTCTTCTTTAATCCTTCACTGCCCCTCCTCAGGTTCACCCCTGGCCGTGCTGGACATGGTTCAAGGAACAGCAAGACAAAGAGAGGCGCAGGGCAAGGTGTGGGGGTAAGGGTGCAGGGCTCTTTGCTCTCTGAGCAGCCTACCCTGTCTTCAATCCCCAGCCTGAAGCTCTGTGGACCCTGTCCTTTCCGTTCTTGTGGAGACTTCACTACATAGACATCATTCATTACATCACTGGCCATTTTTAATTGACCTTAATCTCCAGCTCCTCTCTTCTCTGGAGGTCTGAGTGTTGGACTTAAATTTCAACCCTTTAACCACAAGGTTGCTTCTTCTGGTGAAAAGTCACCTTATTAACATAAAAGACACATTTACCACTGACATCATTTAGGAAATTCCAAAGGTTTTAGGAGCTCTGTATCACAAATGGGGAGAAAGACCCAATACACACACACACACACACACACACACACTATTTAATTTCTTAAGTGGATTTTTAAAGAGAGGAAGGCGGGGGGAGAGAAACATCAATTTGTTGTTCCATTTATTTATGCATTCATTGGTTGATGCATGTATGTGGCTGGACCAGAAATGGAATCTGAAACCTTGTCATATCGGGATGATGCTCTAATCAATTGAGCTACCTGGCCAGGCTAACATATATTTCTTACTCTAAGTCCCAATATCAGAGAGGGAAAAATACCTTGGCTGCTTCTTTCTGTTATGCCCAGATTTCAGGATCCCCAAGAAACCAACAGGGAGCCAGCAGTCCGATGCAAAAGCAAAGAGTCCTTTATATTTCAAGCTAGCTGGAGCTCCCCGTCCACCACACTCACCGACACAACGGTAAGCCAAGTGGCCGAGAGACAGAACCCCGCGTAGAGACGGGTTTTATAGGGGGGGTTGGAGTAAGGGGAGGAGAAAGGACTGTGCTCTGCTGATTGGCCAGGCGCAAGTCGGTGTCTTGTTCCTGGGTGTGGCTAGCAGAGTCTTAGACTTCCAGGAAGAAGCTCCTTGCCAAGCACGTGGCCAAGGTAAGATGGAGGACGTAGCCCTTACCCTGGGGCAAGGTGGAGGGCCTAGCCCTCGCCCTTTCACTTTCCAGTCACTCCTTCCTACTCGGCCTGGGACATCCATCTGTCTGTGTTTGTGTTGGGTGCAGTGAAGTGGGGAATAGGAGAAATTAGTATTGCTTCGACAGGAATGAAAAGAATTAATAAAGGTTTCCAAAATAGGCTTGAACAGTTAAAGGATATGCCTTCACTGAATAGGTTTATTTTTGTAATGGTCAAGAGTAACACTGAAAATATTTAACAACTGGAATCAAATGAACAGGTGGCCATGTAGGACAAACTATTGACCAATCCAGAAGGGACAAGGTTGAAAAGGACTAGCAGAGCAGTATTTGTGCAAACCAGTTGAATGTCAACACTGCACCTGATACCAATTTTAAAAAGATACCAAAGGGTAAGCAGTGAATCATGAGCCTCCCTTCCATCCCATCCCCCAGCTTCCCAATCACTTCTTCAAGCAAAACAGGTTTTTACCAGCAAAACAGGCGTTTCTTGCTCTTACGACAGAGCCAGGCTTTGTCAAGGAAGAAAGGAAACTTTCTAAATTCATTGATGTATCCCTTTAGGATGCTAATTACCTGGCCTAGAGGATTTGATAAGGGAGTTTTGCATATGGGAGGGCCCAATCATCAGTAAGTAGCAAGAGGAAAAGTCCATTCTTTCCAGTCCAAAGGAATGTGGTTGGAAAAGTGAGAGAGTAGGGGAAAGGTGTGCTGGTGGGTGGGGGGGAGTGCTGGAGGTTGGGGAGCTGGAAGTACATGACTTTATAGGCTGTTCAGAACCAACATAGGGGTCAACACTTCATGTAAATCCGGTGACATAGAATGTTTATGCCGAATAAGTGGATATACCTGTAAATTAAGGGCCAGTTAAAAAATAAAAACATGCCCTGGCCAGGTAGCTCAGTTGGTAGGAGTGGAGTCCTCCCCCCATGGTTCACTCCCCAATCAGGGCACACACAAGCAGCAACCAATGAATGCATAAATAAGTGGAACAGCAAATTGATGTTTCTCTTCCTCTTCCTGTCTCTCTCTCTAACACACACACACACACACA